TTACCACCTTCAGCTACCTAAGAGCATCATTTCTACTACGGCCGACTGTAATCATGAAGCTGTCAAAGCAATCAAGAATAGGAAAGGTTAAGGCAAACCACTGTTACACTGTAATGAATTCGGAAACATGTTGTACTCAGCATGAACAAAGATATTCGGTTTCTCCACACCAATGACCAGTCTGTCACTTTAATATATGCGTAAAACTTGGACACTGTGGTAGTAAGTAATTCCATATTAGTTTATTTATTAGATATATCAAACAGTGAAACATTAGTATTTACTGGATGGCGTTTCGAACACAATTCATTATTGTTTAGAATCAATTCATCAATTACAATCACACAAATTCGAGACTTGAGTTTAATAGTATTGTAGGGGTAGTAGGATTTTACAGATGTCCGAGTTGGTGGACAGGTGTTGAAACATTCCTATTACACGTGTGTGCAGTTGGTTCGATAAATAAGACTTCCGTTGACAATCCTCCCCTCCACTCTGTGACATTCAATTTTAAAACTGTCATTTTATCCCACTACACTAGTGTATTGTTGTGTGTAATTGCATGTGGTGAGTGCTACAGCTGAACTATTCTCTAGATTTCTTATCTTATTCGGGTCAACTAATGCAGATTTCGCTAGATTTTTATGCTCGGCTTGTCTGACTGACTGCCCCTGTTCTACTAATTTGACCTGTGTATTTGACCTGACAATCAGTCCAACAGGTTATTAGGTAAACTAAATTGTTTTGTTTTAACGGCTCCACAGGATTGATCCTTTAACCGACAAAGCTTGTTTCTAAATGACTTCGTGGGTGGTTTGAATTCCATCCACTTTTATTACTGCATTGTTAATTATCCTCCGTAAGATTTTCGAGGTTCCTTCTTTGTATGGAAGTAATACTGATGATTAATCATAATCGTGTGCATGTGTGACAAGTATGCCGTCACTAATATTATTATTATTATTATCACTGCAATCATCACTAATTTTATTTTTGCATTTTCCTCAATACTTCCTGATTAGCTTTATCAGGGTAATTATTAAGTTTCACTGCTTCAGTTATATGTCTCACTTACAGTCTTAGATTCTCCTTGGTACTACTCAGATGTTGTGGCCGACCACCTAAACATTTCATCAATCCTATTTCTACTGACATAGTGTGAGATGATCGGAAATCC